ACCATGAGAATTACTATTTCCTCTTACTCTCCTTCTCTTTTCCTTTATTCGATTTGACAAATTCCATCATGGGTTACAATACGTTTGAGATACTAGACTGGAATTCAACAAGACCTCTTTTGATGATAAGTGGAGTCTAAATGTATTCTTCAAACGGTTTTTATCCATGAGGGGATTTTGTCCCGGAATTATTGTCCTAGAACCGTCCATTCTGGCATCGCCAGACCAGAATACCATACACTCTTTGTTATTTGAAAATCAACGACTTTCTACTTGTTTCTCGGCTGGTTGAGCCAAAGCAACGCAGAGTTAATTCTTTGGTCACGGAAATTCACGGTTAAGACAAAAATCGCCCCTTGAGTGGAGTCAACCCCGCTCCGGAGTTGAAAACCGACCTCCTTGCCCAAAACGTTTTCGCTTACACATCTGCGTAGCATCCTCGATCAGGAACCATTTAAATCTTTCCTGTATCATTACTCATTTTACTATGCTTCAACGGAATTGTTGCAGATCTTGCAAAGAATTGAACAACGGTCAGTAATAATCACTCCATTTTAATTTAATTTCTTATTTCAACGAACTAATCAGTGCTCAGCCAAGCGTGGATGATGCCACGGCCCACGTAGTGCAACACATTGGCAATAAATCTTTCACTGTCTACTGCGGCTGGTGCCCTGGACCATGAATCATTCAGCCTAATGGGCAAAATATGTCAGCGTTTATATTTACATATTTATGAAACAAGTGGGCATAAATCTGTACAGCATGATCAACAGCCCTTGTCGATTTACGGCCATAAATAGGCTTCTCAAAGACTTCGCAACACACTTCTGCTCTGCCATTTTCATACATTTTGATTCAGCGAGCCTCTTGAACAATATATTTCAATGCATTTGTTTGTGAATTTATTAAATTAATTTGATATCTGTTCATTATATACACAACAAGCATATATTCAACTGATCATGTTATACGTAAGTAAATGCGTGAAGACAGTTTATAATTATGCTGAGAAGCATTAAATAAGTTTGTGTCAATAAATACATGTAATGCAACGGTCAGCGACAACTGACTTTAGCGAAGCGGAGGCAATTGAACGCGGATCCACCCACGACACCTTAGACGTGAGGCGAACAAACGGGCAAGCTCTCATCTTCAACAAAGGACCGTAAATGTGGGCCGAGCAAAACAGAAAACACTCACCCTCGGCGCTTAATGAGACAAACGAGCACCTTGTACCGGAAGTACAGATAGCAGACCAACGCAGATTGGCCCCGGAGGATGATTAAAAAATCTGAAGGCGTTTATAAGCACAAGTGCCAGGAACGAGGAGATTACTATGTAGATATCAAGACTATGATATCTCATGTAAATAGCTGTGTGCCATTTGTATGTAAGCTGTGTTTGCAAGTTGAGCTTATGACCAGAATCCACGTCCTGTTTCCTAGTAACCCTCAGACGGTTGCAATTATTGATGTATGGCTTAAAAACCTTAACTTCTTAAATGCAGGTCTCGAACTTTGCCGCTTCGGTAGTAAGCTAGTAAGCCTTGATCAGGCGTTACTGAAACGAAACGCATTACCAAAACAAGTAGGGGTCGCCATTCTTTGGCCGCCCCGCAGCAGCCAAGAAACGCGATCGCGAAAATGACTCCACCACCTGACGCCAAAACGATCCCAATGTCTCGCACGGCTTCCGGCTTGCCGACCAAGTTTCTGAGTTCTGAAGACTGCTCTTCTGCCGCGTTGACGAGCCTTTCAAGGGCCTGGTTGTCGAGCACCATCCACAGACCTACTCCCAGACACACAGTTCCGGCAATCTGCAACATCGTGAAAGCGCGTTAACTAAGTGGTTTAAAACTCTTAGATGACTACAGTAAATCCTTACGAAGAAGACCAGATTGAACGCGAACAAACAAAACTTTAACATCCTGGCACCGCATCCGAGAACCATCATTCAGGCGCAGTAACACAGGCCGTCGTTTTTCCCGTCAACACTGTTCCTTTGCACCACTGAAATACGCATTTGCTTTGTGGGGAGTAGAGCATTAAAGTCAGTCGCATTAATTTAATATAGCACGCTATTCGATTTACTTCACTTACCTTCTAAATAACGCAATTTTACGTCTCAAATTAAAAGTTATAGACTAAAATTTAAAAAATGACATACATTAGCATACCATACCGGCGTGCGTCCTAAAAAAGTTCAAAAGGCAGCTCGTAGTAGCTGTCTTTGAATAGTTAGTCTCTAACCCACGCCTTATTTCGACAAGGAAGTGTTGGAATTCCGCATTGCACAAAATACTGTATGGAGGCTTGAAACTATTTCTATTTCTCCATTTTAATTAGTGCCGGAAGAATTCAATCCATCCTGCAAGCCTTTTACTCGTTGAAATGCATCAAGGATTTTTCGCATTTCTAGTTGTCGGTGTATCTGAACAGACCTGCATCGTCGGAAGACAATTAACGGTCAGAAGGAAGAAATCTGGAGGACATTTGTGGCGTAGCTGTTTGAAGTGAGTAACCTTTCGACATTTTCCTTCTGACTTGCCAATAAGACACCTTTAGCGTCTTGAAAAGGACGGATCTCGATCACTGTTTAACTGAAAATGGTTGAACCACGTTGAAAACCGTTAGTCACTCACTCTTTCTGGTTGCCTTATTGACCTTCCTGATTTTCCCTCCAACAAAAGTTCCCTTCACGGCCTGTAGCTTTGGTTAACTGCTCAAAAAAGACATACCTTCAAAGATGCTGAAGGGTGCGGCAAATATTCTTTCTTAGCGCGGTTTCATTTTAGGACAAGGGCTAAGCTCACTTCCACAACTCAAGACAGTTAGATTATCCT